TCCTGTGCTCTGTTCTCCCCTGCCCCCTAATTTGATTTAACAGAGCTGGGAATAGGAAGTATCTCCCAGTACACCATATCTGCATCAAGACTAGGCATACAGCCATCCTAAAACCAGCAGAAACAGAGTGCTGTCAGAAGGTGTCCTCAAAGACATTCACCTTTGCCAGTGCCGATGCCTCATGCCTGCAGTAGGGTTGGAGGTGTTGTTCTGCCTGGCCCAGCATCAATTGTAGGATATTTTCATTTGGGGTTTCTGAGGAAAAATGTATTACTGTGTAGGTCATTCTGGGTTCTTGGCATTCTGAGCCTTGGCCCTGCATTCAGGACATCCTTTTCTATGTGGGATTCTTCATTTTCTGGTTATGCAAAGAATRTTGTAGAACTTACTTTGCATTGGTTTTCAGTAGAAGATCAAAGTAAGGTCCTTTTTCTGCCTGCTAATCCAGCATCATTCCGTTCTGAAGGGTTTTTGCCCTCAAAGAAGCTGATTGTAGTTCTCATCAAGAAAAATTAGAGAGAACACCTTCATGTGTGCACACTGACATCTTCGTCATCCGAAAATGCAATATCCTAATAGTGCAGCATTGATATTACATTCAGAGAAAGTAAGGAAGGATAAAAAAAGCAATTTGCTTTGCAGTGCATGTGCCAGAGGCAGTCTGTATTTTTCAAACTCACAGTTATGAACTTTAAAAAAAATATCCTTGATGAGAGGTCTGGCCATCTCTGGATCATAAATCTATTTCCAACAAATTAGTTTGGACATTCTTCTGAGTCATAACAAGACTATCCCCAGAGCATCTCACTTTTGAATAGACCTTTCTATCATTATAAACTTTATTAGGAAGTTAGTAGCAAAAAAGTCCACCCACCAACACACAAAGATGAAATGATCACCAAATGTCTGCGGGCCATGGTATCTATTAATCCTTGGAAACAATCTGCGTTTGAAAAGTGATGCCTTGATTGGAACCATATGSCTTTCAGGCACAAAGATTTCACTTGATTGCTGTTGGTTATAGCTTGGTTTGGACACTTGTGCAATGTGGAGATGTGCAGAATGGTCACAAGTCTGCACATATTTTCCCTGAGTCATGCCCCATCCCAGGGCCACATTGGATGGGCTCTGAGCAAAGTGGTGCAGTGGAAGGTGTCCTGACCCATGGCAGGAGGGTTGGAACAACATGATCTTTAAGGTCCCTTCCAACCCAAACCATTCTATGATTTTCTGGGGCCAAGAGGAGAGTACTGTTAGCAGTACCTTACCTCCTGCACCTCCTGCTCTCTCTCACTATTCTTATTTGTAATCACTGAATCTTGTTTGCCTCAATTCCTTTCCCAGAGAGTATCCCGATGAAAAGCTTGAAGTGCTACAATGACTACAACTCACAGGTGACCTGTACATGGATGGAGCATTCAGAGGCTCATGACCTTGTTGGTATGATTCTTTATCAAAGGGATAATATTGACATGTAAGTACCTGGAATGTGCTGAGCTAGAAAAGTTCAGAGAAAAATTGTGTATGACTTGGAATCCTGGGGACCAGCAGTCAGGTTTTCAGAAAGCACATCCACCTCTCTTTTTGATTAAAGCAAAAAGGCCTGCTTCTGAGGCCTCATCTAGGAAGAGAGGAATGAATAGACCATGCTAGTAGAGTGTTTTTTATCATCTTTACAACTTTTTTTTTGTTCTGGGATCATAGCTATGAAATAAGATAGGGCATATAGGATGCTAATAATGGAGGGGATAACATGGTGTCAGAAAAAGTGTGAGTCTTGTTTGTAAACCCTAAAGAGAGGAGACCTCCCCCCTGTCATTTTTCCCATTTAGCAGCATCACTGATAATGTGGTTTTGATAGCTTCTGAGAAAAATATATAAGCTCTGTGCTTATGAGATAGAGAGGGCTGGTGAATTCTCTATCTGTGCTATCAGTTTTTCTCTCAGAGATACTGGTGTGTTTATGACAGTATCTCTCTGTTACATCTGCTTCCTTTTGAGAAGGGARCCAATTCACCAAACTGGATTGATGGTAGAAAAAAAGAGAACAGAAATGGAGGAATAGTTGAGGGAGAGAGGAAGGCAAAGATGGATAGTTGAGAAGAAAATTATTTAGAGTCTGGGAATACAGAAAGAAAGGGAAAGARGAAGAACTCTTGATTTTATTGCAACAGGAGGGAATGAATAGACCTAAAAGCAGGTGAAAACTGGCAGAACTCTGGAACAGGACCTTGAAGTTAGTTAGTACTTCTTGGAAAAGATGGTATGAAGTTACTTTAGAAAGGAACTAGCTCTTTGGAACATTGTTACATGATGAAATGTGTGGATCATGAACTAATGAGACAAGCAGGTATTAAACATGGACAGTCACACAGCTGAAATAAAAATGGCCAAAAATTAATCAATAACAGCTCACAGATGAAGAATAGTTGACTAAACCCCAAACTGTAAAGTAATGCTGATGAGTAGACAGAAATATCTTCAGGGTAGAAATATCTATCAACCCTTGGGCTGACTCTTTTGCTTAAGGTATGCACACACTGCAGCATCCAATCYATACTTCAGCAATATCCCTGGCTTCCTTGCTAATACCCAGCTTACAAAAGTAGCAATAGTGCTGAATAATGCTTGCTGACATATAGTTGGCTAGAAGACTCCATCCTATCCTGGAAGAGAGTATTTGGCCTTAAATATTCACAACTTAATATTTCTCATCTGAGCTGGAACAAGATAATATACTGGGCATGAAGCCATAAATACAAACAAAATTCCAGAGGGTACATAAAGAAGCAAGGCATCTCTCCAGCAGCTGAGGCTACTGCAACCACAGGAAGATTATTTTCTCCTGCCTAGTTTTAAAAATTGTTTCTAATTTTCATGATGCTCCTTGGCCTGGAGAAAGGCTATCTGAAAGGATGATTAACATTCTGGATGAAATTATTAATGAACATTTAAGGTCTCTTGACAGAACACAACTACTAAGGATACAGAAGTACATATGGTTAGGGAATCTTTCTCTGTCTTTCTGGTACTGCAAAATGGAAGTCTTCAAGTAGCTTAGGATTCCCATAAACTTTACTGCCTTACACTGTGAGTAAAAGGTGTATTTACATGACATTAATTTTCATAATATTACTTCTCACCTAAAAATATGGTATTATGTAGAGCTAGGCTAAAAAGTAACAAAAATGAACTGGTACCCTAAAATTTGCTGCACAGCTTCGAAGTGGGGAGGCAAAATTCTGGTGCTAAAAATGTTTCTCATATTAACTGATGCAAAACAGGACTAATAGGTACAGTGAGAAGAKGATATAAGTGCCTTGGTGAGTTGTAACAACAGGATGGGATGAAATTGGTTTCAGGTGTTTAATTTTGCTCTAACTACATGTCTCAAAATCAGATCATTATAGATCACTTTGTACACAGGGAGAACAAGGAGATGTTCTGCACACGCCAGACAGAAAATGAGTTACATGAAGCTCCAGACGTRTATGTGCACTGGGTCTGCCGCAACACTACAGAAGGTTTTGTAATAGGGGAATATGATATTTATGGTTTCAAGCCTAACAAGGTGCTTCAGGCAGAACTGGATGTTGATCTTTTCCAAAATGGTAAGGCTTAAATACCAAATTCTCATCTTTCAATGAATTTTAAGGATTTTTGAGAATTTATTTGCTGTTCATCTGGAATTGAATTCCACTTCCACTGTGAAAACTGCCCAAGAGTTCCACATTGAGAAGGTTGGGCAGGGAGAGGAGAAGGCAAATTTCTGGGAGCAGTTGTACCTGGTATCATCTCAGGAGCTAGTCCAGCAGGAAGTACCTGACACACCTGGTGTGTCAGGGATAAGATACTCTTGAAATGGGGTAATTTTCCTAGATGTTTTCTTCCCCTCTTCATGCCCTTTGCTCACTATCTCCTCTCATGAATTGTACCTCCACCTTCCAGTTCRGCCCCTCCCACCTCAAAACCTCTCAGTCAGCTCGATGACATCAGGAGATTTCTTGCTGACCTGGAAAACAGCTGATGGAAGCCAAGGGCTGGGCAATGCTTTGGAGTTTGAAGTCACTTACAAGCGGGAGTGGGAGTCCTGGGAGGTAAGAGCAGAGGAGCTGAGCCGTCCTGATTTGGGCTGCACCATCYTGAGTGGTTGAAAGTCTGTGATAAAAACTGTGTGAATGAATGGTCTTTCCATTCTCAGATCTGTGAAGAGGTACAAGTGTTGTTTTGGGTCAGATGGAAGGGGCTCTCTTTCTGTTTGCAAGTGACTTGCCCAGTTCATTTGTCCTGCACTGAATGCAAAGGTCTCTACTCAAAAAACTCCCACAACCATTGTGCTTGGGTTTGAGTTGGAACTGAYTTTGCCCTGAATCCCTCCTAAATTGAATTAAATCACGTTCCAACATGAGGCTGTGGGTTCACATGGGGAAAGCAGCAAAATATATTTGAAGTTGTTCCCTCTGTGAGGCAGGTATGTTTTGGGGTTTTTAATTTTTTTTGTTTGGTTGGTTGGTTTATTTAAACATCTATAGGAGTCCATATTCTTTGCCTTATTGTTTCACTAGATTTGCATATTTCTGTTTTGTACCTGTCAGTCAGATCTTTAGATTTTAAGGCAAGTATTTTGGCCAGAGTCCCACGTAATTGTGCACTGAGCAGTGCTGTGAACATGTGTAGCTGGAGTTGAAGATGGTCTGGACTTTGCAAGCTGCAGGAGTTTGCTGCTTGTTGGGGGAGATTGTGCCTAACAGTGGCCATGCCTCGTCCCTCCTGTGCCGTGCTGCAGCACATGATGGAGCCCCTCTYGTATGGGAGTGAGGAAGCACCACATGGCAGCATGTGCATGGACCATCATTTGTGTGGGAATGGTGGAGATGCAGCCTGCCAGTCCACTCCTCTCACTTGTTCCCGGTCTTCCCTCCACCTCCCTGTTCCCCAACTCCTCAATACCCTCTCTTCCTTCCTCTCCCTCCTCTCCCCCAACAACAGGAGGCTGCCTCGCTCTTGCTCTCCAACACCACACATTGCAGTCTCAGCCGTGAGGATCTCGTCCCAGGGAGCAGCTACGTTGTCCGTGTGCGAGCCAGACCGGGGCAGGCCAGCGGCTTCTCTGGGCAGTACAGCCACTGGAGCACAGAGGTGTCCTGGAAGACCCCTGAAGGTAGCATGGGATGGAGTGGGGCCATGCAGGGGTGGAAGATGAGAAGCCATGACTTTCCTGTCATTTATCTTGTGCTGGTGTTTTCTGAAGGTGGCCTTCAGCCCAGGAATTTTCGCTGCTTCTTCAGTGGTGGAGATCGTCTGACCTGCAGCTGGGAAGTGAAGAAAGTGATCACTACCTCTGTCCTCTTCGGTTTGTTCTTCAGGGCCAGTCCAGCATCAGAGTACGTGCCCTGCCCACAGCAGCACAACTGTGCCTATCCCATGGGAYTTCTGCCTGTCCCTGACCTCAGTTCAACACCTCTTTTCCCCTCAGAGAAGAGGAGTGCTCTCCTGTGCATGAGAAGGCTTTGCCCCATGTCCCGTATGTGGTCCAGAGCTGTGAAATCCCTGTTAGCAGTTCCAGCAGCCAGAGCCAGTACCATGTGTCTGTCAGGGCCAAGACTGAGGAGAAGCTGATTGAAGCCTACAAGAACAGTAAGTTTCTCTGCTGTTTCTTGCTTCTCCTTCTTGTTTCTTGGAGAGATGCCTGTTTGAGCAAGTGGGGCTGAGGACAGGGGTGTTGAGGAAAAGTGAGTGGGAAGTGGAAGAAACAATTACTGATGAAGAAAGGAACTGTATCGTGTCAGAGCTCTGGGATGTAGGTGTGGCGTTCCTCAGTGGCACTTGTTACCCTGAGGAAGGTGACAKCTGAGGGAAACTGTTGAGGAGATTGTTGTGCAGAAATTCAGGTTGTGACCCAGAGCTTCTCAGTGAGCAATTGCCATCCTGCTGACTTCTCTGTGATTCGTGAGTGTCCCAGGTGGCAGGGGACTGTGGTGAGAAGTGTTATGGGCAGTGGGAGTGTGTCACTGTGATTTCTCAAGAAGCCACTGAGCTCTTGTGTGTTTGTGCAATGGCCTCTGGAACACTGGAAGAGGCAGGAATCCTTTGCCCAGTGTGGTGCAGCAGGTAGGTCATCTCTGCCTGCATGTATGTGAAGGTATTTGGGTAACTTTAAACTCTAAAACTAGGACAGCTCCTGCAGTGGGTGAAAATATCAGGAGGTAGCTCCAAGAGAGCTAAAAATCTTTGGAAATGTGGTGGACCAGTATAGATATTTCAACTATTGCTTTGCTGCTTTTCTGAACACAGGGAGTGCTGTCAACATTCATGGGTATGGATTTTCCATTATTTAGTAGTCTACTGGTTTATTGTATTTGACTAGAAAATGAAGATGCAGAGAGTTAAGAAGTGTTAAAAAGCTGAGCCATTTTACATTGCACAAAACAACCTTGTTTTCAGTCCCTGGAAATGATTCACAGTGGGCAAAGAGAGTGCTGGACCAGTAGGTTGGTAAGTGTTCTGAGACATTCACTGTGTTCCAGTTCAGGTGCTGCCGCCTGCAAATGTGTCAGTGACAGCAACAGAGAACCAAGAGTATGAACTAAGGTGGATAAAACACAAATTGAATTACGACTTCATAACACAGAGATACCAAGTCAAGTACTGGGAAAACAACCAATATGAAAAGGTAACTTACAAAATGCAAGAGTCATGGATATTTATTTGCTGGTCAAATGGAAACACAATTCTTTTCACCTCTGTCATTGGTTCTCCTCTCCCCAGACTCTCCAGGAGCTAAACATCAGCAATGATGAACCTCCCTTCATCTTCACCCAGCAGTTGCTGGCAGGAGCTACAGAATACAGGGGGAAAATGCGTGCAAGGGTGAATACACCTCCGGAATATGAGGGGCCTTGGAGTGAGTGGAGTGAAGAGTTCACCTGGAAGACTGAGAATGGTACTTTTCATGTGGCTGCTTCTGACAGGTTTTGGTGGACTCTTAATGGCTGGAATGCCTCTTTAGTGAAACACATTCTCCTAGCTGGGGTTGGAGTGAGGTGCAGCCAGGGCCTAGCAGGAGTCACTCAGTGAGACAGCTGCCCTGCCTGCATCCTTGCAGTGCAGTGACAGTGCTAGGGAAGGAGGTGAATKACCTTTCTTTCCTGCTTGCCTTCAYAAAGTGAGTACAACTAACCATAAAGTTTTCCACATGGAGAGTGGAACAAAGACATCCTGCCCAAAAGATTATCATTATTTCCTGATTCCAGCAGTCCATGCTTCTGTTGATGAGATGACTGAAGAGCCTAATAGTTTAAGAAGATAGAACATAGCCATCAGCTTTTTATATTTCCAGAGTGGCTCTAAGGTTGTGTAAAACACATAGTGGAGTGTGCTGGAGATATAATCTTCAAGTGTTTTTGCTGTTTCTGGACTCAGAGGCTGAATGCCTCCCATCATATGATCTTTTGCCCAAAGTAATATGATCTTACGTGATTTGTCCTGGGGAAGGTTGTAGTGGTAATACTGTGGGCAAATTTTGATGCATGTATTCAGGTAGAAATTGGTGTGCTCTTGTGGCTGCTGGCAGAGGAAGCTCTTAGAAAATCTCTGAGATCTCACTTCCTCAGAACAGTTCAGAGTCAGGCAGACTTAAGATATCTCAAGGCATGCCTATTATTCATGGTGGAGTAAGTTTCATGACCATCTTTTTTCTGATGTCAGTAAAAGCCAAGAAGAGAGTCAGTAAAGGAAACAATGAATTCCTTTGGTCAGTATGCTGTTCAGGTCACTTTTGGCCTGCCCCACTCTGGAGCATATTCCAACAGTTTGAAGGCCTTATGATCCTGTCCCTCCACACATCACATTCCCTGATCCCTTCCGATGAATAGTGTCCAGAGTGAAAATCCTGTTGCAGGAAACAGAAACAGCCCCTCTGCAAGTGGATAGCTTTTCCTCTTTTCTCTGTTTCAGTTCTAGCACCTGTGATTCTCCCAGTGATGCTCCCAGCACTCATCATCCCTTTGCTAATAGCTGCTTATTGCAGCTACAAGTATTTCCTCAGGTAATTGCAACAAGGACACTTAGCAGCTCGCGTGTGTGGCATAAAGTCCGAGGCAGTTCTGGTGCCCCAGGAGACAGGAGATGGGCCCTGGTGGGCAGCCTTGTGCATGTCTGGGTAAGGGAGAGGGTTGGGTGGTGCTGTGCCAGTGCCTTGRTTGTGCCCCTCTGTTCTGAGCAGCATGGTGAGTGGGGTGCAGCCTTTTCTGGTAGCAGTCACGTTGAGAAGCAAATCTTGAAAACTGTGCTCTTGCTGCAGGAAGAAGAAAATGTGGGAAGAAAAGATTCCGAACCCCAGCAAGAGTCTCCTCATCCAAAGCTACCTGGGAGTAAGAGGGAACTGTACCTTGAAGGGTTCATWATTTCTCTCTCTTTTTTTCAGGACTTCAACAATCTTAGGAGCTCTACTTGTTTCCTAGTACAATGAACAGATATTGCCATTTGTCTATGAGTTATTTTTAGGAGAATTTCTGGTCACTCTTAATGTAATGGTGTTCTTATTTTATGCTAGCAGACCTCTTTGTGCTGCTCTTGGCAGCAGCACTGTGATTTAAAATCAAGGTAGAAAATTTTCAGTATTTTAAGATTTCCTGCTCCTGTGCTTTTAAAAGGTGTTTCTTAAACATTGCCCAGCAGTTGAGGAGTTGCAAACTCTCAAAAGCAGKTTCCTAGGGGACACTGCCAAGTGTMCCTGAACAGCTTGAAGTTTTCTCTCCTGAAATCCAGAGTAACAACTCTACTGTTTACCTTTTCCCCATTACACTGAAAATTTTAAACTCAAACATTKCATGATCACTGTGGCCAAGACAACCACCTACTATCAATCCCTCAAGCTCTATTCATAAATAACAAGTTTAGCAGGTCATCTTTCCTAGCTGACTCACTGAGTACTTGTAGTTAGGCCACTGATAAGGTGATAGGGKTGTGAAGAAACCATCTTCTGGAGTCACATTAGTGAAGCTGTATCCCTGTTACCAGGTGCCATAGGCTCTCCTGTTTGTTTTCTTTGTCCACGAGGAATGTACAATTCCTGATTCTACTGCCAGTGAGTCACTGCTCTTCGGTCATGTCTGCTTTTTCATTTTCAGAAAGGACACTTGGGAAGCTGGTCAGCAAGCAACCAGCTGGACTTTAACAAATACAACCTTTCAGAGAAGATGGAGCAGGCTAGCTTCCTTCAGGTTTTGGACAGGTGAGTGAACAGCACATAACAGTGACACTGTGGATGGTCTCTAAGACCTCACTGTGTCATGGCAGGATATAATCAAATGTTCTGTCACAAGAAGTCCTATACAAGTTGATTTTGAGGAGGAGATTCCATTTTTTGCTACATGGCTAACCACATCTGCATAAATTTTTTTTCTAAGCCTGTGTGTGTTTTCAACTAAGATTGGCTTGTATTTTGTGTTCACCACAATAATCTCTCTCATGAGCAACTTTCGACTTTCCCACCCTCAGGCAGGCGAAGACTTTGGCAGAGTGCCTTGAAGGGCAGACCAAAAAGACAGATGTTTCCCCTGTTACAATGGACCTACAGAATTCATACCAAACTTTAAATGAGTCAGAACACACCCCAGTTGTCTGCTCCACTCAGAGTGCTGGTCATTACTTTCCTGTTTCAAGGAGAAACAGTGCTGGTGCAATTATTGCTTCACACAGAGCAATCCCTTGCTTTGCTTTCAATGGTCCRTACTTGTACGGCCCAGTGGTGTCCTCTCACCCTGACATACATCAGGCCCTGGAAATGGACCCCGTGGGACTCAGTAAGAAATCAGTTTCCTTTCAGTATGTGATGCTCCCAAGGGAAGACTCTCCCAAGACCACACGCAGTCAAGGGCAGCCAGAAGCAGCTCCTCCAAAGGACCTGCTCCCRCATCAGCAGGAAATGATGCAGTACCTTGATGACAAGGAGGAAGTCTTGCAGTCCACAACAGCCTGCAAGGAAGGCACCAGCAAGGGAACAGAAGAGCAGAACTCTCCAAAGGCTCTCAGCTGTACCACGTATTCTCAACAGTGTCCCCTGGAGTACATCATCACGGACAGCCCGTTACTGCCATCAGCCAGCACCCCCACCCATCCTACACTGGTCACAGCTGGGGAGTCACCTCCTGGCTCACAGGAGGCAGAGCCTCCCAGTGACCACTCTTGCCATGAGTTTTCTCCTGAAAAAATTGATGTCATCATCTCAGTTTCAAGCCAAGCACCAACCTCATCTCCTGAATCACACCTGGATACGCTGGGAGACTATCTTACTGTGCCTGAAGGTCTCCAGGAACATTCAGAACCCACGAAGATTTCTTTGCCTGTCTTACAGAAGGAAAGTGGTGTTCCTAGGAATCAGCCTTTGTCAGAGGGTGACTTGGTGGTGTTAAACCCTGACAGCACTGACCCAATTTTCCTTTGCCAGGTTGGTGACTATTGCTTCCACAGCCTAAAATCCAGTGTGAAGATGGATAACAGTCAGGAAGACCACCAAGTCCAGAAACTTTCTGAAGGCGAGACAATGCTTGGGAAGCCTGTATGTGATAATGAATCCATCACTGGCAATGAAAAGGATGTATGGAAAAGGAAAAAAATACAGGCCATTCAGCTTTTCAAAAACCTGAAATCAGATGATTACTTTTCCTGGCAGCAATCTTTGAGAATCAAAGAAATCTGTTAAGTGGGTAAATATTAATGAATACCAAAGAGATTGGTAACTGAAAGGGGTTGCAACTATCTGATGAAAATGAGCCCTCAAACCTAGGAATAAATAAATACCAGTTCCATTTTAAAGCTTCCAGTCTAAAGTGTTGAAAGGCTTAGAGTAGCTCAATATCATTCTTGCTGTCTTCACAGATTTGTCATGAAAGACAGCACAAATATTGCCCTTTAGCGTTTTTCAAACTTTGGCTTATCCATGATGAACAGTTTATCCTCCTCATGATCCTGTGGCACATCACAATCATCTCACAATTATATCAGATTGCTTGGCAAAATTTGTGGCAGGAAATGAAGACTTAACAACTAGAAAGGCTATCAGAAGGAGACAAGCTTGGAAATCTTGGAAAGAAAAGTTATGTTCTTAAAAGCAATTTTGTTGAACTTTTGTGTATTTGTAAAATAGCTCTAAAAGTCACCAAGTAACATTTATATCTCTGYCTTTCCACTATGGCATAAAATAAGTATTGTCTGAGGTGAAAAAGCCCCAAACAATTATAGAAGGGTAAAGAAAAAAAATGTTGACATCCAAGAAAACTTCCTCAATATTAAGGTGCAGCACATCACAGTGGATTCAAAGGATAAGAAAGAAAGATACATAAAGTAAGTTGTAGAGAACCATTTGGAAGAAGAAACATTACTGAAAGAAAGCCCAAGGGCTCCTAAGGTTCAGTGAGAGWGAGTGGGGCAAGTCAGAGATGCTGGGAAGGTGCACAAGCCTGTATCTGCTGGAGTTTTTCTATTTCTGCATGTTAAAGTGGTTTATTATTTTCTTTTAAGTTCATTGACTGTTTATTCAGTATATACTTAATCCTAACGTGTAACTGATTCTTAGGGTTTTTTTTTTTTTCCTAAATAATGAGTGTTGAGAAAGAGTAGACTGTTTTTTTTTCCAGTTTTGCTGTAAAGAAAGTAGTGCAAGGTAAGAGTCTCTGTTCAGAACCCTTCTCTGTGATCAGTGAAAAGGGTTTGGTTTCAGATCTGAAGGTGGACCTGACTTGCAAGAAGAAACATATATCTTTTTTCAAATATAATACTTGTACTAATAAAAATATTATTTCTTTCTATAAATATTTCATTTGACATGTTACAATATTATGGTTGCAATAAAATTACKATTAGCTCATTTGCTGAGGTTTCAAAAAATTCTGTCAGTTCAGCGATGCCACATCTGAGATCGGACATTTCCTCCTGACTTTACTATGTCATTTGACAGAGAAAATGAGTTCTGTGTTTGTGCCACCTGATTCCTCCTACTGGGTTAATGGGACTGTGCTGATTCAGAAATTACAGTGARATTATTTGGATTTTTGAGAATTTAATCCTTGTAAATACCATTCTAAATCTGAAAAGTGGGCCAATTGAGTTTGGTGCCCTTGATAGCAGAAGGCAGGCAGCTGCAGCCTCCAATAGAAAATAGTGATGAACACTTTGAGGGATTTTCAATTTAGACCTTTTGTAACCAATGGGTTTTTTTATTAGTCTCTTGTTTGGCCTTTTATGAGTGGCACAATTAATTTCTTCCAGCCTGTATTATTGTGCTCTATTGAAGCATGTCCTGAAAGGAGATGTTCAAATCCATATGCAAATATTGTATCTGAATTAATATCTTAGATATGCATCATTTTGCTGGGCCTTGAATTGCTGGGGTTTAATAACCAAGAAGAATAAAGARAGGGAGAAGTTTTATTCAACTTGGTGGCATTTGCATTGTGATCAGTACTCTAAGAGCTCTCTGTTCCTTCTGTTCTGCTGCACTTCACTGGGCATTTGCAGAGGCTGATTTTGGAGACATGATTTACAGATACAAGCACATTTGTCATGATCCCACAGAGATGATATCATCATCTGAAGATTGCTTCAGGAGCCTGGAATATGCTGAGTAACATACCATTGTCACGATAGGGGAGCGGAGCAGTGGTTTGATTTCCAACTATAACAATTCATTTAGGGCAGAATGAGCTTCTGCGCAAGGGACTCTTTCTTCAATATCCACCTAAGTATCATTAAATAAAATACGTAAGGAACACTGGAAGCAGGGCTCATAAACCATGGCTCTGCYCTGCCAGAGGAATCCAGTTCTTACTGGGTTGCAGATTAAAAACTTCCATAAACTTCATCTGTTGCTGATCCTATGAATCTTCCATTCTCTTCTGCATGGGGTCCGGGTGCTGTGCAAACAGTAAAAAGGATTTTATAATCCTGTAGCCTGCTGATTCAAGACTTGGAAGCAATCGTGAGTCCCAGGTCTTCAACTTCCTGATCATTAACTTGAGCCACAAAGTCACTGTTGTAAGGCAAGTTGCTGCTTCCTTCCCCAGTGCTAGGTACTGATATGCAGAAGAAGAATCATCATTCTGATGATTCAGGAGCCAATTATGACATGCTCCTCTCTGTAGGGCTTCTCACTAAGTAGTTCCAGCCCCTCAGCCTGTATATCTGCATGATGAGTCACCAATGTTTCCTATACAGTCAAAAAACGAGTTATGAGATGATTGCAACCCTTTCCTTACTGCATACTCAAACATAAAAGCTTCTGCATGTGTTTTAACAGCAGGCATTTTCCTCTTTCTTGCTCTGAAGTAATCACTTTATTATTCCTTTATCATAATCTTCATCAACCAGAAACATACTGCTCGAATTTGCATGAGGCTAGGGTAGGAAATATATTGTAAACTCAGTAATTCTAATTAAGGTCAGTGCTGAACTGGTCTGTCGCAGTCTTTCTGCTGGCTTGAGGGCTGTCTCTTATGTAAGGATGGAAAGTGGGGCTGAATGGGTTGCTAGAAAAAGAAACCTGCAGCAGAAAGCCCTCCAAGACCTCAGGGAACAACAGCTGGAGAATTTCTGAGAATCCTATTTTTCTACCAGGTAACGGAAAACAAACCCAACCCATCCTGAGGTCCCTGCATGGTTTCTTGTTCACAAGATTATTGTACATGCAATCTTCCCACAGAATTCCACTCTGTCTCTTCTCCTCACTCCCTACATGCTCCTTCTGCTCTCACCATGGAGATGAAATGTCCATGAAAAGAAGCTCCACATGGCATGTTGTATACATGGGGAATAAGTAGCACTATGACTTCATGCCTCTTTTGGCCCTTTTGAAGTCCATACAAGTGTCTGACAGGATCCCATATGCTGCAGCCTTTATCCTAGCAAGTCCTCATACTGCACAAAGGATATTTCACCATGAGGTTCAGTGGGTGATCCCAAATTCCTCTGAAGCTTGTACAACATGAACCAGCTTTAGATCAAAAGTTTCATTGGTTGGTTGTGTGCTTTCCAGCTTGTTGGTAGGGAAGCATTTGGTCCTCATTCTTGCAGGATAATCTGTTTGTCTAGAGAAGTAGWTGTAAAGCAATCTGAAACAACTAGACATCTTCTTCTGTTCCCTTCTAAAAGATTTTCCAGCTCCTTACTCACAGTGTGCATATACATTGCAAAGGTTTGGGATGAACACTTTTTAATCCTCTAAGCTYTTTGTCCTTCTGCGGCACTCAAAGTTACATAAGATGTTGACACGCATTTTTGAGTTTATTTCATTCATTGCAGATTCAGGATGGTTTCCTGGTGCTGTTTCAGCATCTGAAGACACTCTTCTCCTCCCTTGTACTTGCAGCAGAGACTGTAGTATAGGATCACAAGACTAACATGCTGGATCTAGACAACCATTCCATCTAGCCCAGCATTCTGTCTCTATCAATATTTGCTGCATGTAGTAAACATGGAACAATACCAACTAAACAGGTAAATCTTGCTCCAGAGCTTTCATGAGTTGAAGGTTACGTTTAAGCTGTTGTAGARAACTGGTATTTCATGTCTCTGGCATTTAGAAATTCAACTAATCCCTTTCTAAAACCACTAAATTTTTAGCTTCTTAATGTCTGATAGTAAAACATGAATACATTTGCTTATAAATAAAAACATAYAAACAAAAAATAACACCCACATTTTCCTGAACTAATTTTGTGCCAATTGCTTGGTTAGTTGTTCCTTAGTTTTTGTTCCAGGAGAATTGATGAACCATCATTCCTTATTCGCTACCCCTTGTTTGAGATGCTACAAACTTCTGTCAAATGATTCCTTAGTTGTCTCCTTTTCCAAGCTGGCAAGGTGAGGGAGGGGATTCTTCCCCTCTGGTCTGGGGGGATTCCACCTGGAGTGGTACATCCAGCTCTGGGGCACCCAAGAAAGACATGGAAATGTCAGAATGGGTCYAGAGGAAGGCTATGAAGGTGATGATAGGGATGGAGCCTCTCCCAGAAAGACAGACTGAGAGAACTGGGAGTGTTCAGCTTGGAGAAGAAAAGGGTCCAGGGCAACATCACTGCGGCCCTTCAATATATAAAGGTGGTTGATAAAAAAAAAAAGAGAGCTTTTTCACCAAGCTCTGTAGTGACAGGACAATGGGCAGCGGTCTTAAATGGAAAGAGGACAGATTTGGGCTGGGAGTAGGAAGAAATTCTTACAATGAGGCTGGCAAGACACAACAGCTGGCAGGGCTTTCAGCAGATTGGTCTAGCAGAAGAAGTCCTCGCCCATGGCAGGTGGTTTGGATCCTTCCAATCCAAACCATTCAATAAATCTCTGGTTCTATGATTCTAGTCTCATGTCCCATTTATACCTCGTAACTTTTTATTTTCCCCRTCATCCCCTTTTCCCCTTTTTAGGCTGGAGTACCCCAGATAAAATTTTGCCTTTCTCAGTCACTCAGATCTCTCACCACTCAGTCTGCCAGATAATTTGTAATTATGTGGAAGATTATTATTTTCCTGGGTGAAATTACTTAAAATCTTCTTCCTTTATGAAAACTAACCATTAATTTTTCTCATTTGTTTTCTGTCTTTAAATAGCTTTTATCTAYATGAAAGCCCTCCTTTTATCTCTTAGTTTTTTGGAAATGCATTTTTGAGGGACTTCAAGCTTTTTAGACATCTAGGTATGAGGTGTTCATTGGATAACCTTGTACCTGTTTGCTTCTGGAGTTCTTCCAAGAACTCTACCAGTTTTATGAGGCATGAACTACTCTCTTTTATAGAGAGATGTTAACTTCTCTCCAGAACATTTCTCTCTACTCTTTGTATTTTTCATTACAGATTGTATCACCTATCCTGTACAAAAGCCAGCCTGACTGGTCCTTGGACTGTTCTCTGAGTACTCCTCAAAAGCTTTTGTTTGGTAKTTCTCTTCCTCTGATGCTGAGGCCTGCAAAAGCCTTCTACTATTTACCTCAATTACTTGTTCAGCAATTGAAATTTYGAGTTCCTCTACAGATTTATATTATAAGAGAGCAATTGAGTAATTATATAGGTTATGCAAGGCTTGTAAAGAAGGTAAATATGTTCTACTAAATAGTAAAATATATTTGGAAAATATCATTATAAGTTATCATTTTTCCCTGTATGGCTTGCCTGATTTACTTTTTCAGAACATTAAGGCTCTGCCTTCACAGCATGGGTAGACTTACAAAAGGCCTAAGTTGACTTTAAAAATTTGTATACAATTCTTTAAACAGCTCCTTTATCTGCTGAAAACATTTGATCCTTTAACAGCTCCTTGGCYTTACTTTTGCCAGTTTTTCCTTAAAAGATTATAATAATAAACATATGACTTTCATTGTTTCAACTCCTACCAGGTCTTGTATATTACTCAGRACTAAATCTGTTTGTTTTCCTGTGAGTACTTTCACAAATAGCTCAAAGAAGCAATCATTTATAGTGACTAAAAAAGTAGACTCTGTAGCTAGATTCATTCTAGCAAATAAAATAAAACTAAACAAAGCATTTGTCTTGATTTGGTTGCACAGTTTTATAGGCTCTGCTTACCCAGGTTATTGATTTTCTTTGTGTTTTTCTTACCTTCTATTCTATCCCTTTTTCTAAGTCATAGCTTTCTGTGATTTCAGACCACACAAACAGATCAATCCGAACAATCTATTTTCCACATCTGGCATAATTTCCTTGGTTTTCATTTTAAAATTRCCTCCTAGTGTCTTTAATCTTAAATGTCAGCAGCACTGATTCTGTTTTGATTTGGTGGAATCCATCTTGTATAAACCTAATCTGCTTCAAAATGTTACCAGATACTAATAAATATAATCCCCTTTTCCCCACACAGTTTAATCAATCATGAAGTGAGGCTCTGTTATCTGAAAGAGCGTATAAAAGCAGGACTATTGAAGAATGTTTCTGTGTAGGGCAGCTTTTTTCAGCCTCCTGGCTTAAACTTTGCTTTCAGAACCTCTCACCTGCTGTTTCTTTGTTCTTGGRCCACACTCATTGAGTTTTTCTTGGCACCCACTGAGAGAATGTCTGGACACCTTGTGCTCTGTCATCTTTTCAACTGCACGTGTCTTTTCKAGTAAAATGTTTGTCCATTTTTGTATTTACTTGGCCATGAGAAATGAAGGAGATGTTTTCCTTTTTTTTTCTGCTCCTGAAGGGAGCCCATCCTACTTCAAACACCTTTCAGCYTTTGCTGCACATGGTACCTGCCGAGTAACTCATGAGGCAGTGTTGATGGTGTTCATCTAACCCTGGATCTCCTTTTGGGAGGTGACCTGCTCCTGGGGGTGGAGATCAGATCCAGCAGGTCGTACCCGACTGCTGTGGTATCACATGCCTGACAAAACTGCCACTGCATCCAAGAGAGGCTGTGGATGGCCTACACAGATATGGCAACACCCACAAAGGTGTCTAAGGAATGATTTGGCTTCATCTTCATATCCTGTCTTGGAGTTGAAAGGCTTCACTTGTCTCACTTTGGGATTTGAGTTTTTAAGTGATTTACAGGTGGCCTTTTGTTGTCTTGTCAGCTCATGATTCTGTGTTTCCTAAAAGGATTAATTAAAGTATTTCTGGTCAAAGAGACCAGCAACCCTAAAGAGATTAACCCTGAATTTATGGCAATCTACCCACTGCTTTTTATATATATCCATGAAAGTTGCTGTCCCTATGGCTTAGCAAATAGAGCAGGAGAAATCCAGGGATATAATGATCCCTCCTACTCACTCTTTGTATCRAAAGAGTTTTCTCGAATCTCTACCCTAAGCTGCTGCTAAAGGTTCTA